GTTGGTGTGTATTTAGGATTAATTAACCATTATTATCTTGACGGTTGATTTTTGCGAAATTCTCTTTTTTTGTGACCCTTACAAGTTGGATTAAACGATGACATTGTTGGACAATAAATAATAATAATAATAAACTCCAATTTCTGTGGATTTACAGATTACAAAAGTAAATTATCTTGGCATTCGGTTGTTGTTGTTGTTTATTTGTTCAATTTAAGTGATTTTATTAAACGACTGATTGGTTTTTAATAAGAATAATCACTTTCTCATCATAAATGCAAAACTGCTAGTGGTAGGTGGTAGGTAGCATTAAGTAAGCAAAGGAATTAGGTGAATTAAGATTGGCCATACTCTGAGGAAACCATCAAGTGACATCACTAGACAAGCCATTGCTTGGGTGGAGCCCGACTGTATTGGAAGCGGCGAGTTGGTCGTCAGTGCGAGGTTGGGTGACTTGAAGGAGGTGATGTGAAGAGGAGATGAAAACGTGTGGTCAGACTTGGAGCGAGGTGAAGACTATAGCAGAGAACCGAACGCAATGGAGATGCGCGGCTGAAGCCCTATATTCCTCTATGAATTAAAGGAAATAATAATAATAAGAGAAATATTAATAAATGATGGACAAGTGTTTCATGAAACCTATGATATATATGTGTATATACTACTGATTGATGGATAGTTCACGCATTTATTCCCCTTGATGATGAATTTAAATAAAGCAAGAACAACACAGTGGTTTGTGCAGAATAAGAAGATGGTACCATCATTGTTTATTTCATTGGCTTCTCATCAACTGCGGCTTACAGCCTAAATAAATTGTGAGGTTTATGTACGTACAGAAAAGTTTTAACATACTTGCAAATTATTTTACATGTTGTCAGTTGACAGAGAGTTTCACAATTAGTGAAAAGTGCTCAGAGCATTGTGCTTATATAGTTTTTACACAGGCAGTTCAAGTTTAAACAAAATAAATGTATGCACACAATGGTAAAGGAGTTACGTAATAAAGACGAGAGGTGAGTAAGATGATGAGTAACTAATAAATTTGGTAACGATGTACTGAGTTCAAATCACGTCATAGAAACAAGAGACAAGCAATATTACAGATTATTAAAAAAAAGAGGGATGAGGTTAAAGACAAAGATTACGTATTCAGAGTAGAGAATAAAGACATCCAGTTACCAACCAGGGCAAGGAAAGACTAATAACTGCTTCTTTCTGAACACATAAATGTGATTTGAAGCGTTTAATAGAAATTGCTTCGGCAAACTTGATGAGAATGGAGCTTCTTTGTCTATTGATAATTTTAAAGGATTTCTCGATTTCCACCTCATGATCCGTGTCGAGGAGATGCCTGGCGATGGCACTCACTGTTTAAAGCATTTGTTCCCTTTAAACGTAAGCTTTTTGGTACATGTTCAGAAAATCGTAGATATGCCCTTCTTTCTGTTCCTTCAATGTAACTGCTCCCGCAGATACATGTAAATTTGTATATACAGTTGGAGTTTACATGAGAGGGATATCTATCGATTTTCGATTGCACCAAAGAGCAAGTTGTTCGATAGACGGGAATGAGCTTAGCTGCAGGATAGGCTATAGCTAGTGATGTATTTAGCCTTCTGTTGATCATCGCTGTAATGTTTTCACCTTTATAATCAAGTTGAAAGTAGATTGGCTTTTTACCCACTGTGATTTGTTTTACATTTGTGACTTCAGATCTTCCAAACTTGTTGATGAACCTTTGAGGGTATCCATTTCTCTTCAATGTCTTTTCAAGAAACTCAAATTCTTCCTCTAATTTCTCTATAGAGCATATTCTTCTCGCTCTATAGTACAGATTCTTGACTAGACCGCGTTTAAAGCTATTTGGATAGTTATGAGTAGTTCGATACTACTCACATCAATCAGATAGTAGAGATAGGAGTGGTTTTTGAACACTGGAGGGTAGTTTCGTTCACTTGGAGGTGAGCCCAATAATGGTGTGTATCCAGTTGGAGTGGTATCCAACCCGCTACTCGTATCATTCGATCAGTAGTAGTAGTAGTAGTATATAACATCATGCAATTATACTTGTTCTCTTGACTGCTACTTTTAATAGCAAGCAGATCATATATATTATGATTTGAATAATAATAATTCCAATTTTCAAAGGAAGATGAGGTAAAGTGCCACTTCGAACTGTGTAAATTGTAAATAGTGGATTAATTTGCTTCTTGCATATTTTCATCCTAGTGTACGAATTATCGGCAGTACGCAGTACCCACAGAGGGTTCCAACCCACGACCTTCCGGCTACAAGGCAAGTTCGTATACCCAATAAAAACGGCTAACACATGAATTCTAACTTCTATCAATTCGTGATTTCCTTAGCGCGACTGGTACCACCCAATGTCATCGGTGGAAAATCCATCCTTACAATTGATTGGATGGATCTCATTGGTCACGACTTCTCAGTAGAACTCCAGGAATCTCCGTCCTGTAGCGAGTCACTGGTGAGCATCAGAAGTGAGAATTCATGGGCTATTGAATAGGGTTCCAGGGGCTGGATGGCATACGAGCTTGCCTTGTAACAGGAAAGTCTTGGGTTCAAACCTCTTTTGGTGGGTACGTACTGTCGACGATCCTCAAACTAGGATGAAACAGCTGTCTAGTACTCCATGCTGGTTTTCAGTGGTTCTCTAACTGATATCAACTAGTGGGCAAACCCGAAAAATAAGTCTAATCCTCACAAACCAACTATTGAAATTTAAACTGATGCTGGCTAGTGACTTGCTACAGGACGGAGTTTCCAGGAGTTCTATTGGGAAGTCGTGACCAGTGAGATCCATCCACTTAGGAGTGAGGATGGATTTCCCACCGATGACATTGGTTGGTGGTCGCGCTAAATGTATCACGAATCGGTAGAAGTTAGAATTCATGGGCTGGCCATTGAATCGGGTCCCAGTGGCTGAATGGTATACAAGCTTGAATTGCATATTTGACATATGTTTCAACCTGTTGTAATGGAGTCTTAGTGATTGTTGTTTAACTTGACTGGAATGAACCTCCAGTTACGACACTGTAGTCAACTAAACTGTAATCAACTAAACACTCCGCACTAAGTAAACACACAGAAGTCAGAAATGACTGAGACAACTGCGATAAAAACAATTTTATTCATAATACAGAGTGTATCTTGTTTACACGTAAACGGAAATTTAAACTTCATATGTCTATTTTCCTTTATGGATTTGAACAAAGCAACAACAACAGTTTGTGCGGAATAAAATGATACCATCTTTTATTTTGTTGGCTTCTCATCAGCTGCTTACATCCCAACAACAACATAATAATAATCTACTTTATTCTAAGAACAGTACTTACAATACAGAATGGAATTCTCAGCATTTGTCACAATATTGCATCTGATTTACTCAAAATATAAATAAAATTAATAATTAAAACAAAATTAATCGGAGGAATTTGTCCACATTTACGATATAAAGTCAAAAATATTCGAAGCACGAATTGAGATTATTAAATATAATAATAATAATAATAATAATAATAATAATAACAGTGAGTTTGTTTCAAACGGTATTGTCGATTCAGTTTGGAAACTTTAGCATGTTATAGATTATTGGATCTAATGTTCTGTTGATGTAGTATAGTCAGGGGAAACACAAAATTAACAGTTATAATACAGCTTAAATTATGTCCACACTTATGAAAAAAATAAACAAAACAACAAATTGAGATGATTAAAAATATAAGAAATACAATAACAATAAAGTTTGATAGAGCGTCGGTGGTATAGCGGTTAGGACGCTCGCCGACCATGCAAATGATCCGGAGTTCGATCCCCTGCCGACACACTCCTTTACCTCGTTAAGCCAGAAATAATACTGGTAAAGAGGAAAGGTTGGGCATGTGGCTAGCAACCCCATCCTGTGAAAATTAAACACAGCTACAGAAACTTCAAGCCACTAGCTTGAGGCCCTATGTTCCACTGAGGAACGTGAAAGAAAAAAAATAATAAATAAAGTTTGGTGCTTTAAGGGTGTAGGAAATGTTTTATTCAGTGGTGCTAAGATGGTTTGTTAGTTCATGCCTGACACTATTTTCATCACATAAAGTACGTGCTTAATATGGTATAGTGGAATTTTTATACTTAGATGTACGTGCATAAATTCTTCTGAAAAGACTTCTTGTTTATGTTAAGAAACAATTTTAACATACTCAGAGAGTTTATTTTTAAACAAAAAAAAATCATTATATGCATAGAATGAATAGTAATAATGAACACTTTATCCCAAGCATTAATAATCATACAGAACGGAATTTTTAGTGTTACATAATCAAATAAAGGAGAGGATGAAAACATTCAGTTACCCAGGCAAGGAAAGACTGATAACCGCTTCTTTTTGAATGCATAAATCAGGTTTCATGCAGTTGATGGTGACTGCTTCAGCAAACTTAAGGAGAATTGAACCCTTTTGCTTATTGATAATTTTGAACGATCTTGCCACGTGCTGTTGATAAGCTACACTTTATCAGGCCTTACCTAGTTACCCAATAATTCAGTACTCTATCTAACCTCAAGTACTGATGAAAAAACTCAAATTAAAAAGACGTAGTTAGTAGGAAATGTACTCCGGTTAGACGTATATTTGAGTAAAATAAAAGGTTGAGACAATCCAGGGGACGAAGATGTAGAATATATCTAACGAATATGGCAACGGAAAAGCGCAAAATGCCGTTGGAGCTAGTTCGACTGTGTGCACGTTAAAACAAAGTTTTAAAACATTGGAAATTATATGCACTAAAAATCTCTATAGAATCTGAATTTGTAATAATCCGTCACTATGGTTACCATCACATTTCATTTATGACTGTATTCAATGTTGAATATTTGTTTTAAAATTATCATTTCAAATTGTCATTCTTATTAACTCTTGAATCGATCACTGAATTGAAATGTCTAATTTTTTTTCTTTTACGTTTTCATTTTTATTTCTTCAGGAAGTTCTACAAGAGGTGATTACAATTCGTCCACCAAATATTGTACTCGTCAGTAAATTACCCGATTCTGGTGAGTATTTTTTTAATTTCCATAATTTACTTCATTATGTGATTATTATTACTATTGTTCCCTTGGATTCCTAGTGGAACATAGGGCTTCAACTACACGTCTCCACTTGATTCTGTCTTCTGCTGTACTTTCCACCTGCGTCCATGTTAATCCATACTGTTTCAACTCCACTTCACTCGATCTCCTCCATGTCACCCTTGCACTGACGTCCCACTCGCCGCCGCTTCCCTTTCGGGTTCCACTCGAGCGTTGGCCTGACGTGCGATGTCACCCAGCGAGTGGCCTCCTCAGCGAGCCAGTGAGTGTCCAATCCATCTCCACTTTCTCCTGTATATTTGTTGAGCGATTGGTTCTTGTTTTGTTTGTTACCATAGTTTCTTGTTGCTGATTCTTTCCAGCCATCTTGTCTTCAGTATAGAGGGAAGACAGTTGTTGATAAAGGTGTGCAACAGGCTGTTGGAAATATTCTTTGTGATCCGCTACCAAGTTTCTGATCCATCCGTATAGCAGAACTGACTTCACTTGTGATAGCGAGTTTTGATTTGATAAATTCGATTCTATAGGTTGATTAATGTTTATCTAGGTAAGTGTAGTGATTATGTAAGCCTTAGGACGTGGAAATATGAGTTACATCCGTATTTGAACCAGTGATATATTCAGCTTTGAACTATATTCTCACTTCAACTTTAAACCTTCATGTTAGTAAACATCTTCAGAATGTGTTTTGAACAGAATACCTCAGTGTGAGCAATGGGATTATCACAGTTTAATTTAAAAAAGACGATTGAAATGTTGTTTCTTTATCTCTGAATGTTATGTTGAGCTGCACACAATCCCACTTGTAAGAAAACTACGTAGTATTTTCATATGAAGATAAAATTAAAAACTTCTCTCTGGCCTTCCAATTGTGTTTCTTTATGTTCCTATCACGTCTCCCATGTATCTGTATTATTTACTTTTTCTGGCATCGAATCTATCTCTTTGCTATTTGATGTTTTTATGCCGCTGAACATCTATTTATATAAATGTACATACTACTGATAAATTGAATCAGTAGCACACGCCACACTGTCTTTCTGTCTGTTTTCGACATAGAACTTTGCGCATATGTGCGGCTGTTCAAGTCGCCACACTCCCTCCTCATAGCACACAAAGCAAGAGAAGAAACTAGGGGAAATGCATATTAGAAACAGTAAACAGAGGTGTGAGACAAAGGTATAGTAATAACGAAGAACAAAACAGTTTCATTGGGAATCATAAGTCACAAAGAGTGCGCCATTGAGAACGATTTTGAGCCATGTCACCGATTGTTTCCAGCATTCATTGGTTTTTACCGTCCCGAGGAACCCAACCAGCCAGGAAGTCTACACCTTCCTACGTGGCTGGCCTAAACTAACTGTTGTAGATTTCATTGACTGGTGCAGCCATGTTTTCGTTTGACCACCACTAGCTAGCTCTTTTCCAGCCTGACCATATATCAGCTAACATTGCCCATTGTCGAGGAAGGCGATGACTAGGCATTCATTCGTAACACATGTCCTAACCATCTCAGTAGATGTAATTTCACTGTCTCGTCGACTGATTTCCCCTCCCACACACCCAGGACTCGACGCCTAACCTCAATATTGCTCACCTTATTATACCACTTCACACGGGAGATAGAACGCAGACACCTATGATCAAAGACAGCTAATCTTTGCATATCTTCCGCTCTCAATGGCCAGGTCTCACAGCCAGACACATAAAGGAGGACGGAGCGGACTGATGAGCAGTACACACGCCCTTTGGTCGATGACCAGTCGGATATCACGTCTACTAAGCCAGAGGCGGCGTAAACTGGCATATGCGAAACTAGCCCTCTGTATTCGTGTTGAGATTTCGTCAGCGATCAACCCGTCGGCACTGGCTGATAGTACTTCACAAGTAAGGGAAGCGGTCAATGTGCTCTACCACTTCACTTCCTATTTCTAATCTAGAAGTCGGTGTAGTCCAATCCTGTGACATCATCTTACATTTTATAGGGGCGAATTGCACGCCACACTACATAATACCAAAATGTCTTGGTTCCTTTTTGATAAAGAATCTTTTTCTCTGCAGGGACTTATGTACTTCCTCAACTTATTCCACTTTTTAAATGTGTACTTCTGTGTACTTCGTCGTGATAGTTATGTCTATATATATAGCCTTACCGTCATATATCTCAGTAATGATATGGTCTTACTATGACCATGGCATCAAATCAAAGTATTGCAGCTCTGATTACATTTACTAATTATTTGTATTTCTCTGTAAGCTTTCAAAAATCTATAATCATCCATCTTGTAGTGGGCAGAATTGATTTAGAGTACGTCAGTCAAACTGGTACCATTCTGAGAGAGGTAAATAAAGGTTAATTATTATTGTGTAACTCTGACTACACTTTTGCATTCCGGCGAAGTTTAAAGGAAAGCAATCCAAGTGAATGACTGCCTCCTTGACCTTGATGCAGCCAATCAGAGTTTAAGAGTACGTACTGATGAAGTTATAACGAAGAAATAGGGTTTGTTTTTAGTAATAAATGAAGTTCAGAAGTTAAGGAGTAAATTTAATCGCGAAAAGAGCCTGAAAACAAATCTTAACCCCATTTTTTGACTCCTCTATGATAACCCTAGCGCTACTGCGCCTGGACGATAGTCACTGAAATGAATACTGACACTCCTACGAAAAGGTAGAAGTGTAACAACAGAAGACAAGGGCCTGGCAACAGATCGTTTATTAAGGAAATCAAAGCATATTTATATATTTTCATGTACATTATTATAGTTTAGTTAAGCAAACAAACACAGTCTTCTGATTGGTTGTTTCTCACTTTCATCTCTTTTTGACCGTTTCTTGAATATCAGATCATCTATATGTTAACTGTATCCGCCTACGCAAAGTCTGCTGTGGTCGGTTTTTGAATCAGTCTTGTTCATATTTTCTCACGACCAATCTTGAGAACGTAAACATTGACGTCAATGTCTGTCTACCAATTTGGTTAGTAGACAGCTCTCACCACAGAAGTTATTCTTGCAACATTTCTAAGTGGTGGATCTTATATAATACTTCCACACTTATTTAAGCATTTTTTCTCACGAGCATGCTGGATTTTAATCACATGAACTAATCAACATTACTCTGATTGGTAGCTTCAAGGTCATTGAGTCGGTCAACGGCTTGAGACGCTACTCTTTGACTTCGCTCAAGTTTCTAAATCTCAACTTATTCTCTTGTTTCAAGACAAGTTTCACGACATTGAAAGCCATAAAGAAGAGCTGACGGTACAAGGCATGCTGCCAAGCTATCCAAATACACTAGAATAAATGCGTCTAAATTCTAGTTCACACTCATAACCCCATGTATTTGAATAAGTTACCAACATGTCTTATATCGTCAACCAAAGGGGAACTATTCTTTCTTTGTTAAAGAAAGACACTTTAGCGACCAGCTTCCACAGTACAAAGTTTGCTTACTTTTTGTTACCTTGGCTGAAATGCATTTTCCTAGAATTCATCCAGTCCAATGAACCTCATCTTTTCAATTCCCTCTAACTGTGTTCTCCGTATATATTTTTAATCCACTGTGCCGTACATATACACACGCACACAGTACAAACATGCAACAATATTCAGTTAGTAGGTAGTTGCCTTGTCTCAACTTTTGGGTGTTGCCCTACTTCGCATTGTTTCCTATGTCCCTTAGAATTAATACTATTAATACTTATGAGAATAAATATATATTCTGTTTAAAGGTGTGGTTATTCCGTCTTTGTTTGTAAATGGAATATTAAAAAAATAGGGAATGAGTCATTCAGTGTGTGTGTGTGTGTGATATGATATTATACTCTTCTATACGATATATGAGTCAACTGTACTCTAACAGTTTCGGCTTTCTTTTTTTCTTTCCTAAAACTTACGGAAAACATGTCTGAATCAATAACTGCCTATGGTTTGTTCCTCTATCCTCCAGCTTGAATTTAATAAGATTTAAATACCTTCTGTATGATTCTGTTTTATTTTTCTGAATGACTCTATATACTACTAATTTATGTAGTAGTCAGCGTCCACTAGCTTGTGTACTTGACTGAAGTCTCTTCAGTCAGGTCTTCCGTCAACAGTTAATATGGTGAATTTTCACTGGAAACCTATAGTGTAGATTTCTTTCTGCCATATACACATGTCGTTACATGAATGTATAGGATTATTTTATTATTATTTATTGTTTATTTCCTTTAATTCCTAGAGGAAAATAGGGCTTCAGCCGTGCGTCTCCATTGCTTTCGGTTCTCTGCTAGAGTCTTTACCTGGCTCCAAGTCTGCCCACACGCTTTCATCTCCTCTTCACATCACCTCCTCCAAGTCACCCACCCTCACACTGACGACCAACTCGCCGCTTCCCTTTCATTCGGGGGCCACTCGAGTGATACCCTGGCGTGTGATGTCACTTGGTGGTTTGTTTCCTCAGAGTATGGCCAGCCAATCCATTTCCATTTCTTCCTGCCTATTTGTTTCACAATCGATTCCTGCTGAGTTGGTTGTCGCTCATTGCCAGAGATCCCTCTCTGTTGGTGATCTCTTCTGGCCGGCCGGCCATCTGATCTTGAGTGGTATTGAGCGAAAACAACTTGTTGATGAAGGTGTGTAGTTTGTTTGAGATGCTCTTTATGACGCGCAGTGCAAGTCTTTGATCTATCGTAAAGTCAGTAGCACTGACTGACTTCACATTGGAGTTGAAAATCCGGATCTTATCTTCGTTTAGATGCTGAGTAGGACTGTTGACCTCCACACAGACTTGAGAGTAGTGAAAGCTTGTCTTGCTTTTCCGATTCTTGCTTTGATATCCTCGTCAGTTCCGTTGGCCTGTAGTTGAAACGATGCTTCCCAGGTAGGTCGGTTGGTGAAGGAGGTTGTTTCTTTCAGGTTCCTCCCATTTATATGTATGTATAGGATTAAAAACAGTAAATAATCATGCCAATTTTGCCT